CTACGCAATTATTACTCAAACACAGAATGCTAACTTGAAAAAAACGGGTAGGTGACAATTATGTAGGTGGCCAAACAAAACTGTGAGAAAATTTGAATTGTGTAATGAGGCTATGTAGGATACAATAGAGGACAGTATAGTTCTCTTAATAGTCAATAAACGGACGATAAATGCGGTCAGTTGAGACGGTTTTGTCGTTCAAAATGTAATGTTATTCAAAGTTTTACCAGGAAAACCTTGTATAAATAACTAACGAACAAACTATGCTAACCCATTAATTAATCATACTAATTTCCTAACTAACTGACTAACTAACTAACTGACATACTGACTAACTTACTAAATAGCTATAATAACTAACCGACTAATTAGCAACCTAAACTAAATAACTAACTAAGTTGTGCGTGGGCCGCGTGAAACTTTCAAAGCGAGTAACTGCACAATAACTCCTTATCTGATAACTTATTGCTCACTTGATCAGCTTGCTTAATGACGTCTTCCGGGTCGCTCAGCGCTTGGAAGTATCACTCAAACATGATTTCACACAAGTTAAACCCAAGAATAGTCCTAGAAGCTCTCGCAGATCGCATAAAAATGTTCGACCAATCACTATTCAGCACTTCTAAAACCCGTCCGCATATCGCGTTTTCCATCCACCCGCATAAAACGCATGGTAAGTAGGCTGTCAACTGCCTGGCGAGTTTATGCGCAGCCTCTTGAGCAATTTGCCTGCTTTCCTGGCTGTTGGCCTGTAAAACATCTTTACTTTCCCGTAAGGTAAGGAATAAAGTAAGGGACGGGCATGTATGCCTGCACAAAAAAATTGCATCAATCAAAATTTGTATTTCAGCACCCTAGAGATTAAGAATCGGCTGCAGACGCGATGGGTTCCAAAATCCGGAGCATTGAGTATGTCCGTGCCATCCCCGAACTTTCCTCATCATTCGAAATACTCGAACGGAAGGGTCAAGGTAAGTTGGTTTTCTCCTTACGCTTCCACCTCCGCGAAGGCACATTTGCATCGGTCTTTACCGTCCGGAGTAAACAAGATCCATCCTCCGAAATACTTGCAATGAAAATGATCGTCCCAACTGTCGAACTCAGGAGGATCGAAAATGAAATAAGAGCCCTTCGGCAGCTAAAGTAAGAACGTCCTTGTTGTCCACGTTGTCAGAGGCAAACACGGTGTTGTCAAGATGCTTTCGGCCATGCGCGTCCGTGATCATATCTTCATCCTAATGCCCTTCGTAGATTACATAGCCTTTTCGGTTTGCTCTCTTTCCTCCTGTTATCGTTTAGAATTACTATTTGTCAATGAATGAGAAGGAAATACGCCGGTACCTGCTGCACTTATTGCGAGCCTTGGAGCATGTTCACCGTTTTGGCATTATTCACCGAGATGTCAAACCGACAAATTTCCTTCTTGACAGACATTCGCGTCGGTAGATGTTCATCTTCCATAATATTGACCTAGTTTTTCAGCTACACGCTCGTCGATTTTGGCTTGGCCCACTCGCAAACTCACGGTGATTTGGATGCCAACTGGAATCCGTCAAATGACAATCAGCCGACCATATCACCTGCACTTTCGAGTCGGGAACCCAAAAGCACGTTTAAACGCCTTAGAATCAGATGTCCGGGTGAGGTAGGTTGTGTGTTGTGTTTTTTTCTCACAGTCCTCGTGTCGTCATGTTGAAACCGGCTAAATATACCTAGTTTGTTTCCTATCCATGTTATCTGCGATCTCTGCGGCTTTGGCTGTATAACGCATCTTGTATAGCCGTACTAATTTTTCCCGACGGGCCATTGCGTACTGCATGTGCGATCGCTTATCCTTTTTACCATAAACAAGTCGAGATGCGTGAATCCAGGCGTGTTTGGCGTCGTAGAACGAATGAACATAATGGATGTTAGCCCGATCCGACTTTGCATAGTGAGTGTTTACGAAGTTGGCGACACAGCGTCCTCCAGAAACCGCCATCTAGATCGGCTATCTTTTCATATATCTTCGAGTGTAGATTGCTAACTGACCTTACACAGTTATCAGAAAAGTCTTAACGGGAATAGAAGCACAGGTGCAAAATGCAGCACTGCAATTAAACCTCTGAGAGTGGTTAATCGGACCTAGTTCCATATTTCATGCTGCTCATCAGTGTCGGTAGTGACGTACATAAAATCGAACCGCATAATGTACCAACTTCCTTATCAATCGTTCGCAATTTCTCCTGACAGACGCCACTTGCCGTTTTAATTTCATGGAAAATATCGGCGAACACGTTCTGCATGGTAGAACTGCCACTGTATAAATTTTTTGTCGATGAGGTAGCAAATAAAGGAAACGTGTGAATCTCGGTGGATTTTTGACATCATTTCTGATCTTTCTGTTATTTGAATCACCTGTAATCCTAGTCAGCATTAAACCGAAGGATTTACACACTGTTCTTGGCTGAACTGTTGTCGCGAAGGCCCTCAGGATAGTTTAACCTTTTACTTTCCACTATTTCGTATTTCACAGGATTTCGGTTCTGCCAAAGTTGCTCGCATGCACGAAGGCTTTGGTAGCCCGATACTTTTCAACACAGGGGCTGGTGTAAATGAGAAACCGCCTATCAAGCCTCCTACCTACCCGAGATTGAATGCCTCTAGCGGCGTCGGTGGCAGTATTCCTGGCTCCAGTGTCATTCTCCAGACCACTGCGTCCACAACGTCCGTTGTCACTGCCGCCTCCTCCTCTACAGAAGTCCGGTGCTGCTGTGGACATCGTCTGACCGTCTGTCGTGGTTGCCGGGCGCTCCCGAAAGCACCGGCTGCTCGCCGCGGGGGTACTTTGGGCTTTCGACCACCTGAGGTCATGCTTCGCTGCACAGACCAGACCACGGCTATCGACTTGTGGGCCGTAGGCGTAATTTTCCTCTCCTTCCTTACGGGCCGTTATCCTTTTGTCAAGGTGAATGATGATTTGGAAGTTTTGCACGTCTTCACCCACCTTCTTGGCTACGAAAGAATGCAGCGCGGCGCGCACAGTGTGGGCAGACGTCTGTTGGTCGACCCAAAACCCGCACCTCTGGGTGACACGGAGACGCCCTTGTCGTTTTTGAAAAAACGGTCAGCCTTCTGTTCAATCTATGGTCCTTACCTCCCTCCTTAGGTTCATCAAAATTTTTTTACGATAATTTAACGGATAATACTGACATCTTCACTGCGCTGCAGTAAACGGTCTTTGTTACATACCTGTCTGATTGATCATCTTGACTCCATGAATAAGGTAATCGACAGCATTCCCATCTCGCTGTGGTATTTATGAGCTGCTGTATTTTGCAAATTGTCCTTTAGATTTTATGCGACAGTTATTAAGGAAGTGAGTCTAAACTTTAGCCTCCTACACTTTCCAACCGCTTAGCGCTGTTACTGTTGACTTACCTCCAGATTCTTTAGTGCTCGGGTTCTTTTGGCCGCCAGACTTCACGACCGGGCTTCCCGTTACCAGCAGCTTTGAATTCGAACCAAACGCGAGATAATATTTGCGGGCGATTGTCTGCGGCACCCTTTGGTGTAGAGAGCTGTTCTTAAGGCTTATCTGAGGGGGTCCGGTGAACTCGACGTTTCTGGACCAATCAAACAGTCGCTGACTATCCCATGCCAGATAATTTAAGGTTTTCTATAGTTGTAACTGTTAGTTATTATATTCGTTCAGCCGAAAATATCAAAAGAAGGGTGTCTCTAGATTGTTCTCTCAACCATCCATATATCCCAGGCATTTTATCCGTTAAGCCGATGGTGGGTGTTTACGTTTTTCGTCACGGTACCCTTTTTAACCGAACAAGTTTACAGCTATCTCTTAACCTCGTGTCCCTCCTGGTTATACTGATAGCTTGCGTCTTCTGACGCGATTTTAGCACGCGATAGATGCTCTATTGCTCTGCCATTTTTCTAACATAACACGCCCTCAACCACATCCTTCCCCTTCACCCCCATCCGCGTGTAGATTAATTGCGATTCGCAAGCTGGAGCGGCGCCTGGTAGCGCCGCCGCCCCCTCTGGCAGTCCCAACCGGAGATCCGAAAGCATCCTCTCCCAATTTCGTCAGCACGTCGTCGGCGCTAATTGCACTCCCCAATACACATCGATTCCCCTCTTTCGCCTACGACCTCGTAGCGCGGTTGCTGGAACCTTCGCCAAGCCGTCGTATTACTGCCACCGACGCCCTTCAGCATCCCTACATCAGTGGCAAGTGCTCTCAGCCCAGGAAGCCTCCTCCGCCTCCGTCAACCGTTGCTCCGCCCATATTTTCCCTCCCCCAACCCCGTCCTCCCTAGGTGCACCTCATTTCAACTAACCGCGCTTTGCCTTAGCCCACCCAGTCCGCCTTTTGTATGTAGCCGCTTTTTTAAAAAAAATTGCCATTTCAACCAATTTCATGGTGGCGTTCGAGGTTGTGCCCCCTAAGGCTGCTTTACACGTTCGGACATACTGGTCCGGACGCGTTTAGTTACGGCGACACAGACTTGACCCTTGCTCGAAGGCTGTGATATTTTATGTAGCGTAGGTCAGCGGTCTCCTTGATCGAAAGATGGGATTTATGTCACATATTTCACCCTGACCATTAGCTCATAGATGTGTTTTGTGAACCATGAGCCCGCGGACTGAGTGCTAGACGCATGTACTTGTACTTAGTACGGCTGTAATCATGCCTGATCTAGCCGACCTCGATGATGTCCCGAACTGTACCTCTCCACACGTGATGATCCGCAGCAGCAGACCTGGACAGTCCAACCCATTCTCTTCGCCAACGACGGAGACCGAATACCGAAGGTCCAAGAACCACCTCCATATCTTGATGAACTGCGTGGGGCCAGGTTTTGAGTTGACCCCCTCTTCGACGCCTCCAATGGGGTAACGGTGTCGGATCGAGCGCAGTAATACTGAGCTCCTGAGGTGGACGACAAAGAACATGCCCAAACCGCCTCAGTCGCCTTTCTTGTATGGTCTGGGTTATCCTTGTGATACCGCGGCGAGCGCCAACTGTCTCATTTGAGATGAAGTCTGTGTACTTCACACGAAGGGGTGGTCCCCAAACAGTTTTTGCTCGTCCTTCACACGCACAGCCCAGCACTCGCAAACATATAGGACGGACCGGACAGGTGCACGGTACACGTAAATCTTAGTGGTGATGAAGAGGTCGCGTCAGATCCATAGTCCTTTTCTAAAGCTTGAGAAAGTCTGTCGGGTAGCATCAATTCGGGAGGCAATGTCATCCTTACTCTGCCTATTCGGTAGCAGCCTCGCCCCGAGGTATTTAAAACTGTTTTTAACTTCAGGTTGGCAGCCACCTATCCCGAGAGGTGCCCTCTCCTGGTCAGGGATTCGGCTTGAGAACACTTTAGCCTTCCCAGCGTCGATGGATAAACCGACTGATTGAGCGACCTCGTTCATCCGTGACACCATAGACTGCAGATCACCAAAACTTGAAGCAAGCAAGGCAATATCATCGGCACAGTCTAGATCAGTCAGACAATGTCCGGACGCAAATTCAACACCATCGCCTTCGTGTAGGGCTCTCCCGAGAATCGAGTCAATAACGTAGTTGAACAGAATGGGCGACAGGATGCAATCCTGTCGAATGCCAGACCGAATACCAAACAGTTGGGAAAGATTGTTGCGGGCCAGGACTCGCACGGTGGCAGAGCGATAATAGGCCTGGATCGGGGCGATGATTTTTGGCGGTACACCATATAGTGCCGCCATCCGCCATAGGGACTCATGATGGACGGGATCGAACGTGTCGGCAAAGTCAATAAAGCAGACTACCGTCGGTCGGTGGTAGCTATGGCGGAATTCGAGAATGCGCCTTAGTGTGAATACTTGGTCCACGCATCCACGTCCAGCACGAAACCCGGATTGGTTGGGCAGCGTTCTAGAGTCACGCACAGCCTGAAATCGGCTGAATAGAACCATAGCGAAGATCTTCGTAGCAACGTCGATGAGGCTTATGCCACGGTAGTTCTCGCATCTCACCTCGTTTCTTGAGGATAGGTACAAGGATGCTTAAGCCCCGGTCATCAGGAGCGACCTTGTTTCTACAGGCACGTTCAATCACCCCATGGAGTCAGGGCGCCAGTGTGTCGACACAGGACCTGTAGATTTCAGCGGATATACTTTTTTCTCCGGGTGTCTTGTTTTTGCTTAGCTTTCGTATGGAATCGACGGCCCCCAGAAGGGGGATCGCATGACACTGCATACAGTAGGTGAGCTAACTCATGAAATGTCGGCTGAAATGCGTTTCCGCCTCGAAAAGATTAGTTAAGTAGGGCTGTAAGACTAGGCACCCTGGAACATAATTACATAATATTTCAGTTACCTCAGGATGCCGGCTTTCGAATAAACTTTCTTCCGGCTACATGCAAAAACTACACTGTAAAAAATGACTACTTAAGTGGCAAGACTTCTTCGCGTGGATTTTCGAGGCCCCTAAAAGTCCAATTATAGTTCATGGAAAACATGCATAAAAACATTCATTCCTTTGCTCATTCGTTAGAACATTATGCCGTCTTCCAGCCTCATACTCGAAGTAAGGATATAATTCGGTTTTCAGAAACTTCCAATTCGCGAATAATTCTAAACCTGCTCTACCGTTACACTTGGATTCAGGGTTTCCAAACTACAAGCCGTATATTTTCCGCGTACGAAAAACCATACATTTCTCCACGTTAATAAAGGGAGACTATATAGGGTTCATAAAATTAGGCAGGGGATTTGATCCTTATTGTTAACTTTACGAGCCACATTGGTAAATGGAGAGACATGACGATTTATGAACGGCCATTTCACGGTTTTTAAAAGTCCCACAACTGGCAACTTTTCAAAAACGGAATTATGTCCCTCCGTCGCGCGTAAAATTAGAAGAAGACTTAATGTTTTACCGAATGAGCAAAAAGAAGGAATATTTTTATACATGTTTTCCATGAAATATAATTGGACTTTTAGGGGCATCGAAAATCAATGAGAAAAGTCATGCTACTTAAGTAGTCATCTTTAGAGGGTGTAGTTTTGCATGCAGCCGGAAGGAAGTTCATTCGAAAGCCGGCATCCTGAAGTAACGGAAATATTATATAATCATGCTTCAGGCTGCCTAGTTTTACAACCCTACTTAATTAATCTTTTCGAAGCGAAAACGCATTTCGGAATTTCAGTTGACATTTCATGAGTTAGCCCACCTACTATAGGTTGGAGAGGGAAGAAACTCCACTGCGGAGGACAGCAAGGACGAGGTGGGCTAGGTATCGAAGTTGAGGTGGTGCTCGAAGTTCTCACGCCAACGCTGGACCTTGGCCGAGTTCTCCGCACTAAGGCCGCCCGTCACATCGCGAACAGTCACTCAGTGTAGAGGAGTTACCAATAACTTGGCGGATAAGTCGGCAGAGTTTTCGAGTGTCACGATCGTTCGAGGCCTGTTCCATGGATGTCACTATTTCAGCTCAATATTGCTTTCGGTCATCTCTGGCCGACTTTGCCGTCAGTTTCCGAAGTCGGCGGAAGGAATCATCATTACGGGACCTGGCTTGAGCTGTCTGAGCAGACAACTGCAGGGTTCTTCCGCCGGTCCAGTCACTGCAGCGTCGCCGGGTATATCCAAGGATTTTCTCAGCTGCACCATAGATTGAAGTTTTCAGTGACGACCACTGGTTACTACCTTCTACGTCTGCTCGGGTCATAAAACAGGACCGGATTTGAAAAGCCCAGTTGACAAACACGTGTTTTCGGCAATTCTTCGTAAGGTCAAGACAGTTACACGAAGGAACCCGAGGTTAGCACCAGAATGGCGGAGGAACGTTACGAGCAAATTCTTATCAGGGTGTATTAGACGGGGTGACTATCCCAATTACTACTTTAAGACCTTAGAGAGAAACCCTATCGCCGCAACTTCAACTGCAGTGAAACGACATGTAGAAAGCCACCTTGAGACAGTGCCGAAGTTAAAAAAACTCCACCGGAACTTGTGTCAGAAAGCAATGGCTCTTGACCGCCTTGAAAACCACGAGACTGGCATTTAAAGACTATGCAGAGGCAGTCAAAATTAAAAAGAAGGGAGGCCAGGTGGACTAGGCACAGTAAAGGCTCAGACCGCCCTTCCAAAAAATCCGGAACGGTACGTGCGTAACTATTCTTCAGTACGTCTTGATAAAGCTCTCATAGGGGTACTAGCTCTTGGCCTTAACCTTTGCATTGCACGGCGGATGCCAAAACAGTTAGAGCTAGAAATCCAATTTGAGTCTCTTCAGTAGACTGCAGATCTGAAATCTACTGAGCCTAGAGAAGTTGATTGCCTTGGGTCGACTTTGGCTACCTGCTGCCAACAGTATTTAAGATAGGCCCCGAGATACAAGCGTCCCTTGACAAAAACCCATATCAGTAGCCTTAGGCAACTTCACAAAAACGAAGACATTGTGCTTACCATATCGGATAAGGGTTCAGGAGTAGTACTGATAGATAGAAGGGGTTGTGTGGCGAAACTAGAGGAAATACTATCGGATTGTTCCAAGTTTTCAAAATCCGAGAAAAATAAGGATCTTGCAGAGGCTGCTGAGGGTCAGTTGACGACTGTCCTCAAGGATCTCTGCAAAGAAAGTCATTTGCCTAGCAAAGAGTATGAGCGACTGAGGCCGGTGAGCACGACCTTCCTAAAATTCACAAACAAGGGCTGTTTCTACATCCAATCTCGGATATGAGGAATTCGCCCGATAACACCGCTGCAAGATGGTTAGTGGACAGACTAAAGCCACTGCAAGGTCATCTGTACCCTTGAAGTTTGAAAGACCCCTTTGAGTTCGTTGAAGCTGTCAAAAATATTAACTTTGGCGGACGGAGGATGTTATCACTGGATGTATCATCGCTGTTTACCAACGTACCTGTGTCACAAACAATAAAATATCTTTACGATGCTCTTCATGATACGAACTGCCTCATAGGCATATCACTGAAAAAGCTAAAAGAACTACTGACGCGTTGCACACAAAATATCCAGTTTCTGTGAAATGGTCAACCACAGAGGCAGGTAGATGGTATGGCAATGGATTCACCGTTTGGACCGTTCTTTGTAAATGTTTTTATGGGCAAATTCGAGAAAACAAGATTTCAAGATACCATTACTGACCTCGTCTTCTACGGTCGGTACGTGGGCAATACCTTCTGCCTGGCGAATGGTACCACCGACAACGAGGGCCTTGTCCAAAAGGTCGACAGCGCACACCCCTCGTTAAAGTTCACTACAGAGTCTGAGGCAGATAACGAAATTGTGTTTCTCGATGTCCTTTTGCTG